CAGAAGTGATTGTTTTCACTGCCCTTGTGACTTCAAACAGTCACTAAGGGAACTGTTGTATGTGGAGGCCTCCCTGTATTGAGCAGGAGGGAGTGAGGGAGACCTGGCTGGATTCCCCTCCCCCGAAAGAAGGAAATCATAGATTTGGGTGGATTTCCTGGGGGGATCAAAGGGATCCCAGATCCCGGACAGGAGGAGAGTTCGGATCCTGGGGAGAAGAGGGAGATTCCGGAGCTCAGAAGGAAGAAGGAGGCGGAACCGTCACCCGGGAGGAGAATCCCCAGTGGAGGCCAGAAAAGGAAAGGGGGGTCCCGGCCTCCCCCTCCCAGGGAAGAGGAGACCCTCCCTCCCCAGGACTCACCTCTCCGGCCGATCGTTCGCTCCTCCCTCTTGGCCGCCTCGTAGTTCAATGCGTCGTAGTTGTGTCGGCAGAAGAAATCAACAGCGGCCTTCCGGTATTGTATGATCTGCTTGTCTCCGTTCCAATAGTCCGCAGTCGCCTCCCCCAACGCCGTGACGGCCACGTATTTCCCGAGGTCGCTGTCGAAGCGGACATATTCCTGCCGGTCGTAGAAGAACCGATCCAGAAGCCGCACCCGCTGCGTCCCGTCGAGGAAGATGCACTCGGACTTCTCCTGGAGCAGGAAATGGGCTGCCAGGAGGAGGAGGAGGAGGAGGAAGGCCGTCAGGAGGGACTCCAGGGCCCATCGCTCCCAGACGCTAGTAGAGGAGGAGGAGGAGGGTCCCACCAGGAAGAGGGGAGGGTGGGGGGGTATCTCCCTTTGAGAGACTGATGGGAGACGCTCCTGGAGGAGGAAGGGGGGAGGAAAGAAAGGAGGAGGGGAGGAGCCTCCTTAAGGGACCCCCCTCCATCCCTTCCGAGCGGGGGGAGTGCAGGTAGACGCTCAACTGGTCGAGCAGATCTTCTCTCTGTAGGGACCATTGGATCTCCAGGGGGAGGAACGGTGGGGGAGGGCTGGAGGGAAGGTGATATCCACACCTCCTGCTCTCTCTTCCTTTGGAGGGGCAGGGAATACGGGAAGGGGCACAAGGAGGACACCTAGACTCATATTCTTGAGGTCTCCCATCCCTTCAAATCCCCCCTTCCCTGGATCCCCCCCCCAACTTTTCTTCTTCCCCAAATCTTCAGCCGATTTCCCTCCCTTTGAGTGACTGTCACAGATCCCCACATGTTTCCTTTCCCCCTCCCCAAAAAGACCCTTTGCAGCCCCCCAAGAGCCTCTCAAAGGGAGGGTCTCCAGCCCCCCCTCACTAAAGGGGGAGCCACTTCCGGAGGGGCAACTCAGAGCCCCCCCTCCATTCTGAAAATGCCTCAGTTTCCCTCTTTCGCTTTCGCTTTTCCTTCCCTGCCTCTTTCCAGGCAGCCCACTCCGACCCAGACAATGGGGGGGGGGGAGAGGGGCCCGGCTGCGACCCCCCCCCCCATGGCTACAATCGGGGAACAAGGGAGGGGTCCCTGTCCCTCCTCCTGAGAGGCAATACGGGTAGGGAAGAGGAAGGAGACCACGCAGAGATCGAA